CCTTTTGCCAGTAAGAGCGGGTGTCGGTGACCAAGAGAACACGACCATATGCACTAAATCTTGTTACTGTTCAGAAGTATAAGTCACAGGAAGATAAAGAGAAAAATAATTGCTCTTCGTCGCCAGTGAAGTTATCGTCTGTACTGGTTCCAGCACTGGCCCCTGCCCAGACCACAGGGATGAATAGCCGGGCTTTCGCGAGAGCTCAGCTAAAGTCACATTTTGAGCACGTTTTCCGAAGGATTTCACCAATGTACAGCTCTGGGCTTAGAAAGCTGTCTTCTCGTGCACCACCTTGTTCTGTTAATGACAGCAGGCTCCATAATTGGGGTTCACTTTTCCCAACCAGCGTTACTCACTCCGCTGCATCAGAAGGATCAGCACTTCCTTCTGCTGCCCCCATTCATACATCTATGACATTTTCACATCCCCGTTGCCACCTGGTAGCATGACACGACACTGTCTGGGTTCTGCAAGTTCCTCTTGAGAATAACCTTCCTTTCCCCAGATGCTTGGCAAAGGACATTTATAAATCAGAAATATAAATGTGAAAGGCTGCTACAAGGAAACGTCCCTACCGAAATCTGTGCATGGTTTACTGTGCGCTGCCACCGTGAGCACAGGAGCCAGTCAGGAACATGGTGCCTGCTCATCATCAACAGACTGTCCCTCTGGTTTAGCTGAGGTTTGATTTGCTGCTTTTTCTCAACAAAACTAGACTTTCTCTCTAATTTTTTAAACTCCACTTCCCCTGCAGAACCAACACCCCTACAGAAAAAAGAGAACAGACTTTAACCTAGGCTCATCACTCTCCCCCTGGCATCTCTGATTCAACTCACTCTAATTCCAGCTGCAAAGTCTACCTGTGGTTGTGACACCTTGGCTAGACTGCTCACCGTTAACACACCGACCCCAGGGGCTGCGGGGCTGGCAGGAGAGGACCCTTCCATTGATTTTTACTTATGAGCTGAGGAAATCTGATTAAGGGGTGAAAAGCTGCACTGTCCATGTCAGAAAGTCCCTGCATTATTATGTCACACTGTATTATTTGTTAGAAACTCTAAAAAAGTACGAAATGATTAATTGCTATTTTCCAACCATTAGAGAGTGCAGCAGGGTGCTCATAAGTATTTATAACATTCTCCAAGGACATGACAGTCTGGAGAACCCACTATTCACACGTGTAATATTCTTATTAACATCTATGAGTCACTTATCCCATTATGAAAAGGAATCTAACATAAAGCATGGCCTTTGCTATTCCTCCCTCTGATTTATCCAGGGACAGAACTGTCAAACCACCACACACACAAGAAGGAACTCTTTCATACACCTTCTGTTTATTTAGAAACCCTGGGGTCCCCCTCTCTCCTACAAGTCTCCAGAGCATTCTGTCTTTAATGAATCAATTTTGCCATGCTTTGGAAAATTCCTTTCTCTACAGGTACCAACATGCACTAACAGCAGCAAAGTTGGGCTGCAAACCTGATTATCCCTTTCTCCCTCCATCCACCCGTCGCAACCTGGTCTGGTGGGAGGTGTCCCTGCCCATGGCAGGGGGGTTGGAACTAGATGATCTTCAAGGTCCCTTCCTAAACCATTCTAGGATTCTCCTGGAATCCTACAGGAGAACTAGGGATATTCTCACTCCTTGTCCTACTACCAGAAAGTATCAGAGCGCTGCAGTGTGACTGTGGCTCAGCTGAAGCTTAAAAGAAACCCAACTGCCTCCCAGTAAAAGGGGGATCTACCAAGCCTGTTCTTGTCCTGCAGCCTTTCCAGACTCTGGGAGGGAGTCACTTCTGCCACTTATTTCCACACTTCTGGAACCAGCAGAGCCCAACTAGCCCAGCTGCGATCGACTGAAAGGCACCGAGCGTAATCGTTGTCAGTCAGTCAGACCTGGAGGCTGCGCAGGGCTGCCAGGACATGGGAAGCTCTGTAACAGAAGCCTCTTAGGGGAGGAGAGAGGAAGGCTGGGGCAGACTGAGCCGGCGGAGGGCATGCCAAGTTCCCGAAACTCAAGAGCTGGCTAGGGAAAGGTTTGCATCAGCTCCTTCGTAGTCAAGGGGAACCAGCTCCAAGCTGCCTCTGATTGGATTTTCTCACTTTGATGCATGCTAATGTATTTTAGCCCACTTGGCCTGAAGTGTGTCTGTTACGCCAACTTGATCCAGCTGCACAGGCCAGGACAAGCAGGAGAGATCCACCCAGCGCCTCTCCAACTGCAAACCGCAGCACCTCCTCCCTCCCGAGTGGCTTTGACCCGACTGTGCGATACACGCAGAACGCTGGAGCCCTCAGCTTAGCGAGCAAGATGTTTGCCCCACCATTCCCACACACCAGTGGGTTCCCAGTCTAGCAGGCTGCAGAGCCCCTGCGTGACCCGACACGTGTTCCTGGCACAGCTTTTTATTCTTTATGTCTTTGTCCTCAGCAGAAAAGTCGGCGAGAAGCTGAAAGACAGGCTCCTACCTCATTATCCACGCTCTCCGTGGCCATGCACTGGTTGTTGGCTAGCGTGGTGATTTCTCTGCTTTTGGGGGTTTCCATTCGACAGCTACAGAGGGGGACTTCCTGAAGACCATCTACTTCCATTGCTTCAGGACCATTGGAAAGACCTGGAGTACAGAAGACCAGTAAATCAACTCTGAAATTCTCTTCCAGGAGAAAGGCTCAGTCCATGAACACCACCCATCCTGCGGCATCCTCCCGGTCCATGTCCTGAAACACTTTCAAGGCATTATCTAAACCTTGTAAAAACAACCCCTTTGTTACATCAGTGGAGTTTGCAAAAGCATCCTGTACTTTTCTAAGTCCAGCCACACTACAGACAACTGTGCTGAAATCAAGAATAGTAAGTTAAGAACAGTTTACTCTGAGAAAACCTCAAGAAATCTAAGGATGTGGTACAGATTTTTATCAGCCTGTTTCTCCTCCCCACCTGCCCCAAAACACTGTGCTCTGGCACCAGAAAATTTGTAGGAAACCCCCCGGAGCTGGAAATTTAAATAGTCAGTGGAGTGATAAATAGAGACGATCAGGAAAGCACAAACTTCTATTTGCAGAGGCTTATTACACAGATGGGAAAACAAAATTCTTGGGACTATTTGGTCTCAGCCAACCGAGAATTATTTATTTTGGAAAGAGAACAAACCAGGGAAAAGAAAGCAGCAAGATGCTCAGATGTTCTTGTCTTCTCCTCATCTCTTTTCTCTCAGATTTTGAACATTTTCAAACTTATTTCAAGGTGGATAATGGCTTTTGAGGGGGCTCACCACCAGGTATGGGGCACAGCGTGAGTGTTCTCGTGGCTCCCCTGGATTCAACTCAACCACTAGATTACCCATGATTGCAAAACACTGGCCTAACAATAAAGGGGTTGCTTTTAGTCCTACACTCCCCTTCTAACCCTAGGCAGTCGTAACACCTCTTTGCAACGTTTTCATTACAGAAACAAGCCCTCAAACACTTGCCTTTGGATTGGTTCACCCTGAAGCATCCCAAGCTGTCCCTAGCTAAGCCTGCTATGGGATTGAGTCCCAGTGAGAAGGAAGCGTGCTGCTATTTTTTAACCTTTTGACAGGAGAGTTATCTTGCTGCAAAGTTTCAAAGATTAACTTCATCCCTGAGGGAGATTCCTCTTCAGCTGCCCTGGCAATGGCAGCACTCCTCCTGCAGCGCCCTGCCCATGGCTACGACCCCATCAGCTGAGCACAAGCCCCTTTCATCTTGTAAGGAGTTTCCTTTAGCCAACAAGTGGCAAGGCCAAGCCTAGAGAAGGGATGGGATATTTCAAGGCATACAAGCAGAGGGAAAGTCCTTGCCGTTTTCATGTAAAATCCTGTCAAGATCTTAAGGGTTTAAGAGCTTTTTCTAGGACTACAAATCACAAAGCTCATTCCTCTTCTTCCAAGCTGTCACTTTCATAATCTTTTTGACATCCAGATGCTCCAGTGAAAGCATCCCTCGTCCATCCTGACCCTCTCTTGGTGGCGAACACTCCCACCCACTCTTTGATGCGCCTCTATCAAAAGAGCCAGACAACCTTTGAAAGTGAAAGAGCAATGGGGGACAGACGGAGGAACGGATCCAGTTCAGCCAGGAGGGGCTGGACCCAAGGCAAGTTCAGCACTGGGACCAGGGGCCAGGGGCCAGCGCCCAGGAACCAGCGCTTGCTCAGCCCCGGGGAGAGGAGGCCCAAGAGGATCTTGGCTGGGGGCAGGGGGGCACTGGGGAGATGCTAAATCAGCATCCTTCGAGGAATAGAGGGGAGCTGCCAAGCAGGACAGGTGGGCTGCGACAGCACCTTGGACCCCTTGCTGGGCATCTTCCTGAGTCACCGTTCTCCACCTGAGCTGGGGTCCCCATCCCCATCCCTGTCCGTCCCTATCCCCATCCCTATCCCTGTCCCTATCCCCATCCCTGTCCATCCCTATCCCCATCCCTATCCCTGTCCCTATCGCCATCCCCATACATCCCCATCCCTGTCCCCATCTCTGTCCCTATCCCCATCCCCATACATACCCATCACCACCCCTGTCCCCATCCCCATCCCTATCCCCATCTCCGTCCCTATCCCTATCCCCATCCCTATCCCCATCCATCCCCATCCCTATCCCTGTCCCCATCCATCCCCATCCCATCCCCATCCCTATCCTTGACCCCACCTGCGTCCCTATGCCCATCCCCATCCATCCCCATCTCTGTCCCTATCCCCATCCATCCCCATCCCAATCCTTGACCCCACCTCCCATACATCCCCATCCCTGTCCCCATCTCTGTCCCTATCCCCATCCCCATACATACCCATCACCACCCCTGTCCCCATCCCCATCCCTATCCCCATCTCCGTCCCTATCCCTATCCCCATCCCTATCCCTGTCCCTATCCCCATCCCCATACATCCCCATCCCTGTCCCCATCTCTGTCCCTATCCCCATCCATCCCCATCCCAATCCTTGACCCCACCTCCGTCCCTATCCCCATCCCCATCCATCCCCATCTCTGTCCCTATCCCCATCCATCCCCATCCCAATCCTTGACCCCACCTCCGTCCCTATCCCCATCCCCATCCATCCCCATCTCTGTCCCTATCCCCATCCATCCCCATCCCAATCCTTGACCCCACCTCCGTCCCTATCCCCATCCCCATCTCTGTCCCTATCTCCATCCATCCCCATCCCACTCCCACCTCCGTCTCTGTCCCCATCCCATCCCCACCCCCATCCATCCCTATCCCTGCCCCATCTC